TTGCATATTCCAGTACATCATGTATGCATGTTCCATTTGTAGTTATAATTACAAGATGGTGGAAAAGCTAGGTGTCTGGAGATTTAGTAGTTTATCACTACAATCATGTTGTCATGCTCCTACCTCCGAAAGGATGTAAAATTGTGCTTCAAATTTTCAACCACCAAATTATGCCAATAATTATGCCAGCATAATCCGCCTGAGCCTATCCATGGTCGCCGATCTGGGCGAGACTGGTGTGTACGTCGTGGTGCGAAGTAAGTACAGTACACGTGTGCTGTTTTTTTTTTTTTTTTTTTTTTTTTACAAAGACCACTTAATGCCAAACAATGAGATGCAGCTAGGGGAAGCACGCACAACCTGAATCGTGGCAGTGGTGGTGAGGTTTAGGGAGCTCCGCCGACCTAGGGTCTCGACTTCATAGCCACCTAGACGCACCAAGAGTGGGTGGGGAGGGAGAGCGAGAGCGAGAGAGAGAGAGAGAGAGAGAGAGAGAGAGAGAGAGAGAGAGAGAGAGAGAGAGAGAGAGAGAGAGAGAGAGAGAGAGAGAGAGAGAGAGAGAGAGAGAGAGAGAGAGAGAGAGAGAGAGAGAGAGAGAGAGAGAGGAGAGAGAGAGAGAGAGAGAGAGAGAGAGAGAGAGAGAGAGAGAGAGAGAGAGAGAGAGAGAGAGAGAGAGAGAGAGAGAGAGAGAGAGAGAGAGAGAGAGAGAGAGAGAGAGAGAGAGAGAGAGAGAGAGAGAGAGAGAGAGAGAGAGAGAGAGAGAGAGAGAGAGAGAGAGAGAGAGAGAGAGAGAGAGAGAGAGAGAGAGAGAGAGAGAGAGAGAGAGAGAGAGAGAGAGGGAGAGAGAGAGAGAGAGAGAGAGAGAGGAGAGAGAGAGAGAGAGAGAGAGAGAGAGAGAGAGAGAGAGAGAGAGAGAGCGGAGAGAGAGAGAGAGAGAGAGAGAGAGAGAGAGAGAGTGAGGGAGGGAGAGAGGGTTGCGAAATTGTTAAAGTAAAAATAAAAGGAACATTGAAAATATGAGATGATTGGTGAGGTGACTGCAGCCTCAGCTATTTGGCCAGCAAAGTCATAATTGTTACAGTAGGCCAGCTATTACATGAACAAGGGAGCTACTGTGCCGCAACATAGAGCGAGGGAGAGTATATAAGCTAGCGAAAAAACTTCAATAAAGACACTGTCTCAGACGCGGTGTGTGCACTATGACTGAGGTGGGTGTGGGAGGTCTGCTAGAGGCTCTCAGTCGCCCAGCTCCAGTGGTGCAGCTGGAGGTGACGGTGGACACGGCACTTAAAGGCTTGCAGGCCCTCCAGGTGTGGGGGTCTCAGCAGTATGCTTTGGGGCAGAGCATTCCATGTCTGCACAGCGCTGGCAGGAAATGCGCGAAGACAGCTGTTTCGGGTGCGTGCTGGCAGGTTAGTCGATAGCTGGTGTGGGTGCGTAGGCTGAGCAGACACGCGGGTGGGCTGTATGTCCTGAGGTCGACGTTGGGCACCAGGGGGGAGGATCTTCTTTAGCGGGCTGTCCGCATCTAGGCAGAATAGCTTGTACAAGTATGCAAGCGAGGCCACTGTCCGCCGCAGAGATAGACTAGGGAGCCAGGAGCCCGATCCGATGATGTGGATGGCTCGTCGCTGGATCTGGTCTAGCTTGGCCAAGTGTGAGGGTGGCGCACCAAGCCAGACCAGGGGACAGTACTCCAGCACAGGTCGGACAAATCCATTGTAGGCTCGGAGTCGGCCAGGGGGTTCTAGGATAGCAGAGGCCTTCCGCAGGAAGCCTAGGCGTTGCTGTGCTCTGGAGCGGATCGTGCGGATGTGCTGCGCATATGTCAGCTGGGAGTCAAAGGTGACGCCCAGGAGCTTCAGGTGGCCTGCCTCGCTGACTGGCGTAGCGTCGAAAGTGGTTCCCGGGAGCTGCCAAGGCTGGCGATGATGTGCGATTATCATGGCTTGGGTCTTGGAGGGCTCAAACTTGATCTTCCACTCCATGCCCCAGCGAGACAGTGCATCCACACCCTGTTGCATGATAGCAGAGCTGCCAGGTATGGACACTCTTGAGGTGATGAAGTTGAAGAGCGTAGTGTCATCGGCATATGCTGCGATGTCCATTCCAGGAGGGAGATGGTCCTCGGCGTCATTTGTGTACAGGATGAACAGTGTCGGTCCCAGGATGCTGCCCTGGGGGACGCCAGCTCTCACCGGGTAGGGCTGAGATAGCTCCCCACCAACAGCTGCGGTTAGGTTCCGGTTGCTCAAGTAGTCGCGGAGCCAGCCAAGCAGGTGACCAGCTACGCCATAGCACTCTGCCTTGTGGAGCACTCCGGTGTGCGAGACACGGTCAAACGCACCAGCCACATCCACTGCGATCACCCTTACTGCACCACCGCTTGCGGCCACCCTGCCCCACTGCGAATTCAATAGGGTGAGGATATCCTGGGTGCCAAGTCTGCTGCGGAACCCATACTGGCTGTGGGAGAGGATATTGTTTGACTCAAGGAATTTCCTGAGGGCACGGTTGACGATAGCCTCCATCACCTTGGACAAGATGGGGAGGAGTGAGATAGGTCTGTAGTTGCTCACATCAGATTTCGATTTCTTCTTGTGGACGGGTACAACCATGGCAGTCTTCCATAGGGTAGGCTGGCGTCCTGCCCGAAATGACTTGACAAACAGTTTCGACACAGGGACTGAAAGTTCCTTGCTGCACTCCTGCAAGACTCGGCCAGGCAGGCCATCTGGTCCTGTGGCTTTTGCAGCGGAGACCTTCCTGAGCTCGCGCTCGACCGCACAAGGTCGGAAGTGCACTGTGTGGAGCTGCGCATCTGAGCGGCGACGAACTGGTGGGAGCGCGTCTGCCTGCAAGTCATCCGTACCCAAACTGCACTTTGACGAGAAGAACTTTCCAAAAGCCTCAGCTTTCGCTGCGCTCTGCCTGACTTCGACACTGTTGGCCTGGGACAAGGTCGGGATCTCCGAGGAACGGCTGCTATGGCCACCAGCACGTTTGATCGTAGTCCACCACTCTCGGCTGTGTTGATAAGCGAGTAACGCTAGTGCGACCGGACGTCTCACATTGATAACTGCGGAAATTCCTCAGCTGGTGGCAAAAGCTGCATTGAGCCCTGGGCTTCTTTCAGTGCGACGACGTGATCAGGGTTCCAATTCCAGCGCCAAGTTTCGAGGTGTTGCTAGGGTGTTGGTGCTTGTGGTGGGCATGCAAGTTTGCTGAAATTGCATCCATTTGTTTCAGAAAAAGCTCAAAAGTTGCTAATAGCGCAACCCAAAATGAGCGAGTTCTGGTGCATAATGTTTAATGATGCCAAAAATCACCACAAATGGAGCGGAAATAGACAACACTGTGGCACAGCACAACTGCGTGAGTTATAGGGAAATGAACAGGCTTGGAATGAGTCATTGTCCTTCTTGTTAAACCTTCGCACAGCATTCATGACATAGCGGCATGCTCAGGGCTGCCACATACACGTACATGACTGATTGTGCATGTACAGTACGATCAGGCGCAGAAGTCACTTCGGCAAAGAACACTTTTTTAACTGAATACCACAGAACCATCAGACTTACATGACTTAGGCTGGAAAATGGGTAAATTCAGGCTAGATTTGCAGATTTTTGAAAGAATGCACGTACCATTTTCTGCATGTTTTCCAAGTGGTGTAATCGCATTGTATGTGCATGATCGTGGAATAAGAACAAAACGACTATATTAAACGCCGTTCAACATTTTGAAAAATGTTCTAGGCTGTGCCTTGAGCTCATGCGTTCTTTGGCGCCTGATCTTACTGTTATTCGTGAAGTACACTTGTCATGATGATTTGATGCTTAGCGATTCTTGTTGAAGCGGAGCATCACGGACACACTTCATTGGTCTCTACCAAGGCCCTTCTCTGCACAAAGTTGCGGAACAGTTGCGAAGTATTTTGTGAAAATGAAGAATGTTGCGAAAGCTGCGATTTCTTCCAAAACAACAAAAAGTTGGGAAGAAAGTGGCGAGCATCTTTGGGAAATGGCTACATTGCATACCCAAGGGGGGAAATTTTCCGATGCGTTGTAGTAACTGACTGATAAAAGAGTTCAATATTGCAGTGGATGGGAAAGAGGGGTCTGCTCTGAAACCTCATCCTACCTTATTAGGGTATTGAGCACTATTTGCAGCAAGGACTTCACACACTTTGTCCTACTGAAGAATAATAATTTTTAAACAATCGTCGAGGAGACAGTATTCTGATTCTTTGCCATTTTACACTACTGAAGAATATGTTTTCTTATTGTCCGCAAACATCCAACGCAGCCACTTACACATTTCTGAAACGTCACTGCTCAACTTCAATAAATCACATACTTCGAAGTATTCACACCACTATGACTGTTACCTTTCTCATCAGTGTCATTAGATGTTTTCTTCATACATGTAGTTCACTGACAAACCCAAGGTACGGGACGTAACTATGGTAATGAATAAGACTCGCGAGCAAAGGTGACTGAGGTGTGAACCACGAAGGCGTCTTCTCCAGGAAACCGACCATCGTCCCGGCATCCAGTGTCAATGTTTTCGGGCAGTGCTAGTTGTTGTGACTGATGATTTATTCTCCGTTTTTTCACGTGGTAGGCCTATGTTGCATCTTGCCGTGCTAGAGCTTAGAAGCTTTTTACATACGTAGACATACATCTACGCTGGATCCTGAACTTTGCGTTCTGAAGAGTGAAGGAGAATGTGTTGTCTTTACAGCTAGCTGTTTGGCAATACATTGTATTGGTGACGAAGGTGTGAAATAAATTCTTTGATCTCTTGATTTGATGCAATTTTACAACATTTTGTCAACCTTTAATTTCCATGCTGTTTTTGACTCTTAAGATCTTCGTCTAGACTACTTTCTTCGTGCCATTTCTACACTTTATTGTAGTGTTGAATCTTTCAATCCAAACTCTTTGAACCCTATATCTTTATGGTGGTAGAACTTATATTATATCATAAGGTTTGGTTATTGCTGATTACAATGTCTGCGTCGATAATTCTGCTGATTCCCGAACATTCGCATTGACCCAGGACACACTAGCTGCATACGTAGCTTCCTCGGAGCAATAAAAAAACCTTCTGATTCGGACCGGAAGGAGGAACGACACGATGGTACCAGTCGCCGAGTCATAGGCCACGAGTACGCTTCACAACGGTGCGTCTCCTATTCTTCTTTACGTTGCAGGACACCAGCTGTCACCCTCCTGTATTGGCGTGGATCAGGACTATCTTGTCGTTGCGTTGACTCAATCCGTATTCCCCGGACCAGAACTTGATGCTGTTCTCTGGACAAGCCGGTCAACCCATTTGTTTTGGCTACCATTGTGGGCGAAAAAGTACAGCCAAGTTCCAGAGACTCCGTTGGCTGTTTGACACTGCCCTAGTTGGCACCAATTCTCTGTTCGCAATGTCTTCCTCACGGAACACGTCAGAAGCAGAAGGCCACCAAGGGATGACGGGAGCTGAACTACCCAGCCACACGATGCAGTATTTTCCGCTCTTGGACTCACAAGGTCCACAGCCGGCTACTGTACAGGGTAAGTGACGAAAGTCGAACGTTTTGCAACCTGTATGCTCTGTACATAATGCCTTGGGATTATGTGTTTCCGGTAGGCCTTGACAGATTAGGCTAGCATAATTTTTCGCATAATTCCTACCAAAATCGAATAATCGCATAATTCGAGGTAAAATGCATACGAATCGCATAAAATTGGAATAACCCGCCTGTTCGCATCAAATTCCATACAGTTGTATATGTTCTACAAGTACCGTAAAGTACCGTTGATCCGCCCCCACGCCATGTCGCTTCCCAGCTGGGTTTTCGGCAGGGGGCGGGAATTAGATCAAGGCTGTCAAGTGCAGTACGATGTACAACAACGTAGAGGATCAGACTCAATGTGCTGAATTGTGCACATTTTGATCCTGGATTGGCAAGTATTGTGTACAGCAGTGCATGCGTCGGTTCAACATCGTATTTCGTTGTATACGGCGAAGTCGCTTCACAAGGAGAAAATCGACAGGGGGCGGGAATTAGAGAGGGGGCGGATCAACGGTACTTTACGGTACAAGTAGATGCACCAGGAAGGCGTAGGTTTACGACTCCCTTGATAACATGTCCAATCCACTACAATCAGTGACCAGGGTGACGGTCGTAGCTAGGTCGGACGTTCCTTGACCCCGTTGAAGCTTTGCTACTACAGTACAACGCCCTGTACAAAAACATTCACCTGTTGTTTTGCACAGAACCATCATATACATTAGCAGCATAATGCGAGCATAATGCGGCATAATATGATAACTTTTAGCATAAAAATAGCATAATTCTGCAATTTTCTCAGCAATGCGAAAAACATAATTTCACGAAAATATTAGCATAATCTGTCAAGGCTTAGTTTCCGGTATCGGATAAAAACTTGAGAATATTATCCTGCTAGACATGGTTACTGGCCCGATATATTTGCTTTGTAAATTCTCTAGTTCTCGTAGTCTAGATTGTATGGGACTCCATATGTGTGTGTCTGTGTGTGTGTATGTATATATAATTATGTGTCTGTGTGTGTGTGTGTGTGTGTGTGTGTGTGTGTGTGTGCATGTGTGTGTCGTGAAATGGGCTGTGGATCACGGCATGGAATTGTCTAAGTCAGTCAGTAGAAGCTGTCGAACATAGTCACTACATGTAATCCCCGTCTGGCCAAGACAGTGTAAATGTTTATCAAGCCTGTTAGAATGGACTGGGATGGAGAGCCAAGGATCAATTTATATCATTTTATAGCAAAACAATGGACCAAGGCACTACAAGTTAAATTAGTATGTTGAAGCCCAACATATGATATGTTAGATTGACGGTCGTAATATGGTCTCAGGTGTGCGGTTTGACTACTTTGTGGTGGGTGTGATCTAGACACCTCCCACCGCTTTAGGAGCTGCATCTGCACTTCGATCCTAGAGGGTGGTGGGCGTTCCTGCGGATGCGTAAAACTCGACCTCCAGCCGAGGGTCAGGCGAACCGAAAATAATTATTATAATTATATGAAATTTTAAACAATCGACGAGGAGACAATAGTCGTAAAATGGCAATAAATAAGATAAATTGTGCACTCATAACAACAGCAAAAATGAAGAAAGTCAAGTTCCATATATAAGTGTGTGTTTTAGTTATTACATTTTTATGTGACGGCGTTCCACTGATGACAGTCACAAGAAAACGTTATGGAACTTGACTTTCTTCATTTTTGCTGTTGTTATGAGTGCACAATTTATCTTATTTATTGCCATATGAAATTTTATATGTTTAATGTGGTGCTGCTTGAGTGATGGAGGTGTGTGTGTGTGTGTGTGTGCAGTTAGCGAATTCTAGTTGCACTACTGATACCTGTGCAACGTATTCCATTTCAAAGTTGGTCAATATTACAAGTAGTTGAGTGCATGAAACTAAATCAGCAGGAAAGCCCAACGGCATTGTATAAGGATTTATTGAGTAATTCACCTCCCCTCCCCTCACCTTCCCCTCCTATGTTGTCATATAACTTAGAACCTTACAATTTGGAAGGCTGTTGGTGTGCGCATCCGAGGCGTGCTAGAGCTGATAGCCAGGTAGTTGTAGAACGTCAGTACCGTTGGTCATTGTCGTGCAAAGTTATCGCATGAGCGCATTGTCTAGTAACTGGTGGTGTTAGTGGGCAGTATAGTGTAACTAAGTTCCTTGGTACTTTTTCCTTTATATAAAATTAAAAAAAGAATTTGTCAGTGAATTTTTGGTATGTTCATTGCTGTGTATAACCAATCGAAAATGAAGATCTAATTTTCCTCGCAGTATGACTTTGAATTTGTAATTCAACTTTATGTATACAGTCGTGCAGTAAGTTTGACTATAGGGTGGAATATAGGTGTATATGATGAGAAGTACAGTTAGTTTGTCACTCATGGTAGGATTCTTAGGCTTAGCGAATCTTTGATGGAGAGACTGGGCTGGACAATGATAGGCATGGTAAAAAGTCCCCTATCCGACCTGCACTTTAATCTGATGTAGCAGCTAGCGGAATGTACATGTACATACTAGGGTGTCAGACCTCAGCAGCTTCGCATGACCAGTTAATATAACGGACCTTGACCATGTTGACAGCCATGTAGAAAGAGGTCCTTGGCTACTTCAGAGAGCAGTGTGTACATGTACATTGTACATTCTGCTTCAACGGTACCTGTATGACACGTGTGTGCGTGCTTGCGTGCATGTGTGTATAATAATTATTATGTTCATGTGTGTGTGTGTGTGTGTGTGTGTGTGTGTGTGTGTGTGTGTGTGTGTGTGTGTGTGTGTGTGTGTGTGTGTGTGTGTGTGTGTGTGTGTGTGTGTGTGTGTGTGTGTGTGTGTGTGTGTGTGTGTGTGTGTGTGTGTGTGTGTGTGTGTGTGTGTGTGTGTGTGTGTGTGTGTGTGTGTGTGTGTGTGTGTGTGTGTGTGTGTGTGTGTGTGTGTGTGTGTGTGTGTGTGTGTGTGTGTGTGTGTGTGTGTGTGTGTGTGTGTGTGTGTGTGTGTGTGTGTGTGTGTGTGTGTGTGTGTGTGTGTGTGTGTGTGTGTGTGTGTGTGTGTGTGTGTGTGTGTGTGTGTGTGTGTGTGTGTGTGTGTGTGTGTGTGTGTGTGTGTGTGTGTGTGTGTGTGTGTGTGTGTGTGTGTGTGTGTGTGTGTGTGTGTGTGTGTGTGTGTGTGTGTGTGTGTGTGTGTGTGTGTGTGTGTGTGTGTGTGTGTGTGTGTGTGTGTGTGTGTGTGTGTGTGTGTGTGTGTGTGTGTGTGTGTGTGTGTGTGTGTGTGTGTGTGTGTGTGTGTGTGTGTGTGTGTGTGTGTGTGTGTGTGTGTGTGTGTGTGTGTGTGTGTGTGTGTGTGTGTGTGTGTGTGTGTGTGTGTGTGTGTGTGTGTGTGTGTGTGTGTGTGTGTGTGTGTGTGTGTGTGTGTGTGTGTGTGTGTGTGTGTGTGTGTGTGTGTGTGTGTGTGTGTGTGTGTGTGTGTGTGTGTGTGTGTGTGTGTGTGTGTGTGTGTGTGTGTGTGTGTGTGTGTGTGTGTGTGTCCCATATGGTGCAGTGGTATATGCAGTGGTATGTGCAGTCGATTTCCAATCGAGAGGTTGCGGGTTCAATTCCCGACGATTATGGTCGCACACGTCTTTCTTCTCTTTCTCGGACTCTTCCTGACTTTTCTTTCATTCTCCTGGGTGGTTACCAACAGCCAGTGTATGCCGGAGTATGTGGTGTGGTGTGTGTGCGTAAAAAAAATGAAAAATGAAAAATAGGGATTCACTGGCCAGGAAAAGTCACTTCAAACAGCTGTGTGGTGGATACCAGGCTAAAAATAGTGGCGGTCAATTCATCAGCCTTGCAAGCTGTTGAATGGTGTAATCCCAGCACAAGTTGCTATGTCTAACATAGCTGTTCGCTATCATCGCTTCCGCGATGGGCATGTCTGAGGTCTGAGGTGTGTGTGTGTGTGTGTGTGTGTGTGTGTGTGTGTGTGTGTGTGTGCGTGTGCGTGTGTGCGTGTGCGTGTGCGTGTGCGTGTGTGCGTGTGCGTGTGCGCGTGCGCGTGCGCGTGCGCGTGCGCGTGCGTGTGGTGTGTGGTGTGTGTGTGGTGTGTGCATGTGTGCCCGTGTGCGTGCATGATCTGTGTGTGAGTGTGTGTGTGTGTGTGTACGTGTGTGTGCCCAAGCTGCCCAAGGAGGCAGTTTGGAATTTTTCTGCTCCTGACTTTTTCTTGTTTTTCGAGTACTTTTGGGCGAAAGAAAGGCCTTGAGGGTTGTCTCCAGGGCCAGTAACGTAGACAGTGAGCTGCCGACGACGGGAGCCACGTAGCAGGAGGACGAGGCGAGTTTTTTTGATACCGCCACCTCTTGCTGCGCCCGAAGTCGCCACTCGCGGTGGTGTGACGAGCCCCCGAGTGGAATATCTGCATTCAGCTCCGAAAAGCTATGAAGTACGTCAAGGAGAGGGAGAAGAGTGGGAGAGAGGGACGGCGCTGCTTGACGTTTGGGTCGTGGAATGTTCACTCCCTTGTGGAAAGGAGTGGCTGCGTAGCTACGGCGAGCGTTTCTGGCCGAGTAGCAGAGGACAAGAAATGTCGTCGTGTTGCTGCCGAGCTGCGCAGGTTGAGCGTGGCGGCGACTGGATTGCAGGAGACACACTGGTTCGGCGATGACATTTATGTCGTTGACGGTTTCACTATCTTGTGTTCGGGTCGCCCCGTGCCTGGCGATGGAGCTCCGAGCAACAGACGAGGAGAAGGAGTCGCCCTGGCACTCAATAAATTTGCAACAGACGCGTGGAAGAATGGTGGTTCGGTCTGGCGGGCTGTGGGCCCTCGTCTTGTCACTGTACGTCTCAAATTCGCCCTGCTTGGGGGAGAAGTCGTATGGGTGACGGTAGTCAGTGCGTATGCTCCGACTTATGCAAATCCGCGTGCCAGCAAAAATCCCAGCCCCCAGCAAAAATCAGTTTTACGAACAGTTGCAGGAGGTAATAGCTGGCGTTCCTGACAGGGACTGCTGTATTCTGC